AAGGAATTGTTCAGTAATGAATTGTTAGTATGTAGGTACGTACGTACGTACGTACATGGCTAGGTGGGCATGTACATACGTACGTACGTACGTGTGAAGCCTTGAAACGAAATAAAATTAAATAATATTAATTAGGAATATTAAAATATATTGAGTACAGTTGGTGGATTATCTGGTAACGAACGGTAAGGCCGGGAAGAGTTTTCGAGTACAATGATGATTAGCATATATCGATATCGATATCGATATCGATATTACAGTATTAGTACACTTTTTTTTAACAAGTATTATGTTGATCATCAGATAGCATAAACAATAATAAACAATCCAGCTTATACCTTGCATAATGAGATTGGACTAACTTGAATGTGCTTTATTTGGTTTAAGGTTTCTTTGGTGATGAATTGAAATAAAAATTCTTTTCTTTCATTAGGTAAGCTTTGTTATGATCGTTTCGATCAATAATCAATTATAGATTAAGCTACTAAATCATATACGTATTTTTTGTTGCGATAACGATTCAAATCTTTAAAAGTTATCAATCAGGCAAAGACGATCTTTAAAGTCTACACAAAATTACTTAAATAAGCAAAGTAACTTTTATATAATCACTAATAGTAAAGATGACAACAACCAAAGTTATCAAAAAATCTTTCGATAGACCTTCATCTGACAATATCACCAGGCAATTCATCTTCTTTCACAATTAACTTGAAAGAAGGACAATTATTACTAGATACGGTCAGGAATTTTATGGATGAAAACAATATACCGTGTTACTTGGAAGTATCGATTATGTCAGTTATAGAATCGTTGATGAAAGAGAGTTGGCGAACAAATTTGGAAAGGGATGCGAAAAGTATGCAATGCTAAATTTTTACTCAAATCTTTGTATTTTCATATTTCCCAATTGGTTTCTTTAACAACACTCTTTTTGATCTACATAGTCAATGATGAATCTAGTGCAAAGCTAATTCAAGAAGAACTTATTGCTAAATATCAAAAACATACAGTTCGATTCAATGACGGTCCTTTAGAAGTAATTCAAATTTTATGGCTGTCATGGCTTATCTGTCATTGGATTGCTAAATGATATTATTTGCTTTAAATTATAGAATCTTTTCTCCAAAGCCTTTCATACTTTAGTTCATTCTCCCATCCCCTCTATGTTTGATATCTTGTTGCAGTTGGAACAAGATTACAAAACTTCAATCAAAGAAATGATGGTAACGCGTGAAAAAGAAAAAGCAGAACTTGACGAAAGGTATGAATTCAAATATTAAATTTGATTGAATGTTTTATTTATATTGTATGATATTCATAATATATCATTAATATATATACATATATATATATATATTTATATTTATGTATCTTTTTTAAGGCATCGACAAGAGAGGGATACGTGTGTTTTCGAATATTAATTTTTGTCTTTTGATAGCTGTATTGTGTAATTTGCCAATGTTATGATTACTTTTTTCCTTTCTTAAGTCGCCAAAAAGAGTTAGAAACCGCTGCTGAATCTGTTTCAGCTAATGGTTTTCAAAAGTTAATTGAAATGCATGTCGAGGTAAATTATATTTATTGTGTTAACCATTTCAAATTAAAACCGATTACATATCTCATCCTTTTACTTCTACCTAGGAATATGAATTTAATCAAGCTGCATGGGAGAGCGAGCTTGAAGAAATGCAACGAGCTCAAAAAAGCGAATACTGGGATTTTGTATTTAAGCTTTATGAAGAACATCAACGGCGTGTGGCAGAACAGCTGTCATCCACTGATCCAACAGGTGTGCATCGGTTGGATGGAAAAGAGATAGCATCGGTAGTCATAGCCGATATGAAAAAAGATAAAAAAAAAGTGTCCAAAGAGCTTTCAAGGCTTGTACAAGGAAACCCGACACGTAGTCGTCCTGGTAGTCGCCCTGGTAGCCGTCCTTGCAGTGTTAGTTCGATGTCAGAAGTGATTTTATCGACAGGATTGATAACTCCGCAATCTCCTATGTTTGCAAGTCCTTCTGATGAAAAGAAATCTCCATTTTTTCCAGTGTGTATCAAATTTCCCATCATAAAAAAAATGAATAAAATAAGATTATATGTAATTAATATTAATTATCATACTTACATTTTTACTTAAACAGCCAGAGGATGATCATGTCTTACAAATAAGAGAAATGGGTTTTAGTAGTGAACAAGCTAAAGTCGCGCTCGAAATGACCAATGGAGTAATGGTACAAACTTAATTATTTTATCAAGATGTTTAGTTAAGGCCAAATAAATTCTAAAGCGTTTATAAATTCTTTCCTAGGAACACGCTGTTGCCCTTCTTATTGACCAATCAGGCAAAGTTGACGCACAAATAGCACAACGCCGTCCTTCAGTTCCCATGATTTCATCTACAAAAGACACACCGGTTCCACACAGGCGTTCAAAGTCTAATAGTAAACCATTAGTCTTATCCGTGCTTAAGCAAGAGAAGAAAAACGCATGGTCTCCAATGGCATTTTTACAACAAAAGAATGGAGTGATGACGGCCCAAAATAATTCTTCAATGAGAAAGTTTAGTGGATGGATAGGGAAGGCCATGGAAAATTTTGGTCTTGAAGATGATGAGTATGCATGTTCAATTTATGTGACGGCTGATGCTGAAGTTTGGCTGATGTTGAAGCTAAAAAATCTGATTGGTTAGGGTTAGGGTGATCTGCAAAATTTAGCCAATCAGATTTTTTAGCTTCAACATCAGCCAAACTTCAGCATCAGCCGTAACAATTTATATTGGAATTATATGAATTTAATCCTCTTTTATTAATTCTTTTTGTTGATAATAAAGAACTCCTCAGAGACATGGTCCGATAATGCAATTTGATGACGAACATCATCAACTCGTAGAGTCATTTACAATTTCGCTCGGTAATCAAGTGAAATCGACACATAACCTTCGTCTTTTGGCATCTGATATTGATGACATGCTTAAGTCTTCCAATGACGAGGCACGTGGTACAGCATATAGGGCACAAACTGCTGCTAATTTGTATTCGCAAGATTTGACGGCAATTGTTTTACTATTGACGCCCAAAGATTGGCCAAAATATAAATTTGGACAAAGTGCTAATAAAGGTACCACTAATGCAATTTGAGTTTCCATAGTTGTAATTAACATTTTATCAGACCAATGACAAATGTTATATAATTTATATAAACAGAATTTTTTAAAAGATGTAAAGAATCTACAGAATTTCATTTTGACAATATTGAAACACAATTTGAGGCCATTGAAAACGATTTTCTAGCTGAGAGTGATGGTGTAATTCCTGTTAAAGAAGGTAAAAAGATTTGACTCTTTTTTTTTTTTTATAGTTTATATTAAATTAAGTTTATATTTAATTACTAATAATAATAATATAATAATAAATAAAAATAAAATTCATAAAATTAGGGGATTTTTTTATCACAAAACATTCTAACCTACCTTTAGTTCATGTGGCATTCCATTTGGTTATAGACTTTGAATGTAAGCTTAAATTTTATAATATTATTTTTAATTTCATCTTCCCAAATCAATAACATCAATGACTTTTAAATTATTACTTCAATAAGCTATAACAAAATCAGAATTATCTGGCAACTCAAAAGCATTGACCGGCCTACGTAATATATTACGAACAGTAAGCCGCTTTGACATTACGTGCATTTCACTACCGCTCTTACTACTTCCATCAAATGTAGACTGTTTTTCAGACCCAACCATTCAAGAAAATATTTTGTGTCGAAGAGGTGAATCTGTGTTAAAATGTATAAAAGGATTTATGATGGAGAATTCGCGGATACCAAAGCGTAAAGCTGATAAAGAAGAAGAAACAAAAACTGTACAATTTTTATTGCCAAAAAATGCTAATGAACAACAATTTAATTCGCAAAGACAGTGGCTAATAGATACTTTTGGAGCGAATTAAGAGATCAGTTTAATGGTTATAATGTATTTGGAAAATTTTCGTTGCTATGTAAATATTGTTTGATACAATTGTATACTCTTTATTAGTATGTTCTCAATTCTATTATATTTAGTCATTTGTTCCCCAAGGTAATTAGTTATTTATACAAAATAAGTAACTTTTTTTTCAAAATTTTGGTATTAATATCGTTGGAACTTTTATCTATTGTTTATCATTGTAACATTACTATTGCAATTATTGTTTATTATTAATAAAAAATCTCTCCGTTGTTCATGTATTTTTTTTGTTATATTCAAATAATAGTGTAGCATTTTATTTTCTTCTGATAATTAAAACATATATTTTTTAACATTTACAAAATTTTGTTCATTAAATAAAAATGTGAATATATTATATGATTGGGAACGGAATTTTTATGTAAACGTACACCTAACCCCAAAATTTTAAATTCAAATCCACTTAATGTTAATTCTGTTCTTACAACATCAATGAGAGTTCAGTGAAAGATAAACCATATTTAGAACTGTAAATAGTTGATAACAAGTGCCAACAATGACATGATTCTTATTATGTATTACTTTGTGCTTTAACTTGCAAAGAAATAAAAATTCATCATGACGAGATTTAAATCTTAAATTTACTCATGAAACAATTTGCACGAACAATTTTTAAAAACAAGTATGAAATGAATGTATGTTGTTTTCTGTTCTATAAATAAAATGAAGAGAATATTACCTTACCCCTGTAATGTTCTGATAACTTTATTTTTTCTGTCAATTTACTTTGTCAGTTGTTTCTTTTTCTTTTCATTTGCTATTTTCCATCTGCTTTTCATCTGTTATTCGTCTTATTAATTGAAGTTCACCCCTTCGGTAACAACATAATTTGGCTCTTTTATAGTCAAATTATCACTTGGTTTTACTTTTACTTTCATTTGTTTCTTGAATTCATAAATTCATTCTAATACATATAACACCTTGAGAGAGAACTTTAATAAATCTTGATTTACATACGACTATACTGTACATCAAAAGATTATATTGTAAAATTAAAAAATTTATAAAGTTCTTTTGACTTGGAATAGTAAGTAAAATTGAAAATTCTTAAAACTTTCAAAATAGATTAGGCCAAGAAACATTACCGAAATTATATCACACGATGTTTTTCAAATATTTGAGTATTATTTATTTATTTTTTTTTATTGTTTAGAAGATTCCTATTTCAGTATTTAAATAATTTTGATAAGAGATGAAATATTTCATGTTCATTCTTTTTTAAAAAGTTCCAAATCGATACTGATAATCGTGTTCAAGATCATAAAGGTGATTTTTTATAATGAACTGAATAATTATAATTCTTCAATGTACTTTTTTTTTTACATATTGATATAAGAAGCAAGCAAATTTTGAATTAGCAATTTAAATCGTTTAAAAGAACTTACATCACTATCAAGTGATAGCTTATTATGGATAGCGTCAAGTTTTACCCCAAAATTTTAATTTCGAGGTACATCGAGAAAGGCAAAATTTGCTTTCGGAATAGAGATGAGTAGATATAGGGATGACACGAATACAACTCTCGTTATGGTGAACTCCCGATATAGTGAAATTAAGCTCAAAGTCAGTCTACATAAAATTCTCTTGATATAGTAAATTCACTATAAACCTCTCGATATAGTAAATTTTTTATTAATGGACGGATCACTTCACTATAATGAATGAGTTATATAACACACTATAAAAACTGCACTACTCTAACCCCAATAGGGGAAAGGTGTGGAAAGATTTGGACCGAGTAACTAAGGTAATTAGAGCTCTAGATTACCTCACGGACTACATAATGTGAATTTTTTACTAACTGGCATAAAATTATGCGTACGTACGTACGTACGTACATACGTAGAATGATTTTTTCTGCTAATACTACAGTATATATTAACATATTAGTTTACTATAATTTTATGAGTTCATATATCAGTTTAATATTTATATCATATCAGCCTAATATCATTATAATGATAGGTTAGTGAGATTTGACTTCGACCTGCGAGACCAGATTAGTTCCAAATTAAATGTGAGCAATATTTTCATTTTGGTTGCAAGAGCCAAGCGTCTACACGTAACTATAATCCGTTGACTTGGTTGATTACACCCTATGGTTTATATAGAAATATTAGAGTTCTGCAAATGCCTGTGCCCGGTACATTGACACCAGGCCGGGCACTAGTGTCTTATGCCATGCCTATGCCCATAGACACATAAGGGCATAAAATACCAGTCACATTAAAAGGTATAGCACAAAAGTGCCAGGTACTAGTAAAAGCATGGGCACAAAGTGCTGGGCACAAGGTGCCAGAGTGGTGCCAGGCACAATTAAATAATAAATATCAAATTTCTGTACCTGTGTCTATGTCCATTTCAAACGTTTGTGCCTGTGTCCATGCCTATGCCAAAATTTTAAAGTCATGCCTATGTCCATGCCTAAGTTTTACTAAGTATTCATGCCTATGACCGTGCCTAAATTTTTTGAGCACAAGTACATTCCCGGGTTGCAGAACCCTAAGGAATATCTATCAATTTACCAGTTAATGTAATTATTTTCATTCCAAAGTTCATTGCCACTGTTGCATTGATATTTATGAATTCTTGATAACCAGTTATAATAAACCGATTGATCGGTTAGATCCAGCACTATAGAAATTGGAGATGCAGGTGAAATTTCCGTAACTTGCCGTAACTATCGCCGTAACTTTAGCTATAGTGAGTTACGGCATTTTTGCCGTAACTTTATTATGTTACGGCAATAGTTACGGCAAGTTATGAAGTTTCGCCTGCGCCTCTAATAGAAATGGTGAAACCTGAGCTGTAAGTTAGTAAAGTCCGCTACATAGATCACATGAGGACAATCTGTTTTGCATACAGTAATATAGCTAAACGCAGATTAGCTCACAACTCGGGTTTCACCCTAAAATAATGTTACTTTGCGTACCCCTATCTAATCATTAAAGTTTTAGTACCGAATCTCTAACAGCGCCTGTTTTCTTAATGCATTAATACATAACTATAAATGCATAAAAGATAACGATAAGTGGTGCGAATTATTGCACAATGATGTGAAATATAAATATAAATAAAACTTTTTATACGGTATGGATAATTTTCTGTTTAAAGCTATATAATGAGAAGCTTTTATCGTTATATTTAGTTATTAATTTCCATTTAAATTTGTATAATGCGTAGTCTTTTCATATCGTCGGTTGTTGTTTCTTTGCTATAAATAGGATAAAATTTTTTTTCACCGTTACAACTAACTACTGAACTAAAATGTCATCATCATTTGAAAAACACGATGAAAAGAGTGAAAATGTCACTAACTCAACATCCGGCATCGTATCTGACAATACTATGGAAACTACCCAAATCGAACAAATAAATATTGATGGCGTAGTTAATGCTAATATGTTACACGCACATCTAGCAATGCTAGCACAATTTAATAATCTAGAACAACAAGATAGTGAAATTGATCAACGATTTTTGTTACGTTCTGAAAAACGTTATTTATTGTGGTTAGGGTTATTGAATAACGGGTCTTTTAAAGATGCTGAAGAAGTTCCCATTCCGTCAATCGGTATGTCAAATTCGATTAGGAACAATATTCATTTTTTTCATATCATTGACATCAAACTCTAATGCCGAAAAATTTCTCTAGACGTATGTCTAATTTGGCACGCGCATTTACTTTCACCATTTCGATATTATGAAGATATGCGACGTTTGCATGATCCATTATCGAAAGAATATAATTTTCCGTTGGCTAAATTAGTTAGTATTTTGTAAAAAAAAAAAACTTTCTTCGCCGACTCTCTAAATAAAACTTAAACTATGTTGATTTCAATAGCATGAAACTTGGAGTCAAACTAAGGGAGATCATATCGATGAGCGATCAAAACAATTTTGGGAAGAGAATACTAAACAACCATGGGTTCTTGATCCAAATGATACTTCGAATTTTGAATTAGTCTGCCCATGGTGTTCTACAACATTAATGATGGCCGCGTAAATTCACTACATTGCTATACATTTAATTTTAATCGTCAATTTCAATCTTGAATATTCTTAGCAAAGAAATCTCAAGTAAAATTTTAAAATATAGTAATGATTACGTAAAGCTAATTTGGACTCCAAAGCATTCTGTATCGTGTAATAAATGTAATTGTAAATTATCAGTCGAGACTCTTAGTGTTAAGAGATTCTTAAATGACATTGAAAAATACAACGATGGAAAGAAAGTTTATATTGCGTACGTATGTTTCTATACTGCATAATAACTATATAAATATTTACAATTCATTAGAGGAACTCTAGTTAGTACTGTTGATGGCGAATATAGTGAGGTGCATGCTGTTTCTGACTCGGATTATTTGTTCAATTTAAGTACTTGAAAGAAGCTTATAGATAAAACGAAAAAAAGTTCTGAGGATTGTAATTGGGCAAAGGTTGCCGAATTCATAAAACTTAGAGTCAAAGAATTAAAGTCTCAACGTTTATTTATAAATGTGCGTAAAGGGACTATTCGAAATGTTATCAACTCTTATTCAGGCATTATATCGCCATTTTCAATAGAACTTGTGAGTGCTGTGATACGTCAGCGTGAATTTACTCATAAAATGGTTGATAATGCCTGGATAAATAATCAAACGGTTCAGGCTCAAGCAACAATTCGATACCATAAGTTTCTACTTTTGCAAAAAGATACTGGTAAACTCTTGGTTCCAACCTTGGATATCGATCTATGCTGGCATACTCATATGCTTTTTGCATCATTATACCGTAATTTCACCAAGAACCATATGAATCGAATTATTAACCACGATGATACATTGACAAAATCGACACTTTCTAATGGATTTGCTGAAACCTCTAGTGCTTGGTATAAAAAAATTTAAAGAACCATAT